GAGAAAACTTGTTAAGAATCAGGGCTACGCTAAATTTGATGGCATCGATAGACCTCTTATTTCTTGTAAAATTTAATTAAAAATTCTTATATTCTCTTAACCAGCCTTAAAATTCTCATTTGTTGATGATCTTTCTTCCTTAATCAGATTTACAAGAAAGGCAAAATGAGACAATTACTTTTAAAATAAGTTTTGCCAACTTTGTAGCCTAAAGTCTTTGGCCTACCGTCAATTTACCTCAACAAAAGTTTTTTTAATTTGAAACTTTGCATTGTTCTTAAAAATCTACACTTAAAGTTATAAATGAGGATACTTTTACTCAAAGGAATGAAAACTGAGATGTTGTGGCCTTTTGGATGGTCGCAGTCCTCTTTCGTTGTATAGTAGTTGTTTGACCTTGTTTTCGCAACGTGTCCATCGAAAGCATTTTATTTATTATCTTTCAGTATTCAAACAAGTGCAAAGGGTGGTCATCACTTTATTCCAATGTTAGCAATCAGTCTTCTCTTCGGAATCTTCATCTTTCTTTCTCTTGCTACACTAAATTTTGCAAGTGATGATACTCTCGAATATGAGATCCATATGCAGGGAGCTCTTCCAAAGCGGGCAAATGAGTACCTCTCTCGCCTTTTTCCTCTCCCTCCAGAGCTTCAGAAAAGTTACGAGAGCGCATTTATTGTTGAATACATTCCCCTTGCCAACTCTTCAATCGCACACCATATGGTTCTGCATGGGTGCTCTCAGGCACCGCCTGAGCACTTTCGACAGGCTTCTATGCAGCCACTCGATTGCGGTATTCTTCTCTACGCCTGGGCTATGGGCGCCCTTCCATTACGCCTTCCTCAGGGCGTTGGTTTCCGTCTAGGTCCCCATGAGACAGATATTAAAGGTTTCCGGTTGGAGGTTCACTATCGCACCCCACTTCTTCAGCCTGACTACTCGGGTCTGCGACTAATTATCCTGAGGCGCAGCATGCCGCTACTTGCAGGAGTCTTTTTGGTGTTAGCTACATATGGCGAACTACCTGGACACACATCTCACATTCATCTGGATATATCATGCAGGTAGGCCTGCTGGTCTGCTGGAGCTACTGTAAATCAAATAACATAGTTAACGAATAGAGTTGCTTTCATCCTCCTGTGGTGTTGTGGCGCTTTCTTATGCCATTCTTGTAGTAACTTTTTATTATACGGGTTAAAAATGAAATAATTAGCAACCTTTTGTATCGGTAGTTATTTATTGAGGCAGAATCCCATCTTTTAGTCTCGAAATGTACTCACCTTGAATGTAATTATTATCACTTTTAATTTATAATGGATACTAGCTGCAATCATATTAGCAGGTCCAATAAGGTTGATAATACTGGAGATAATTCCACTTCAAATGCTCGCCTTATCCAAGGGAATATGGGTAAAGTATGAAGCTTGATATAGACTTATTAACATTCTATTATTATTCATTATTTTGCTTTAAAATTTCAAATGAATTCTTTTGCGGAATGAGTATATTACTGATTGTTGAGCTTACTTCCATTTCGAATAAAAGTGTTGGTTTAAGAGATTCGAAGGTCGGTTCCACTAGAAGATGACGGCGGATTCCGCTTGAATA